TATGCTGAACAGAGTGGATATCAAAGTCATTTTTGAGGTTTTTGTTTAATAATGACATTTTTATTTTTTAATCTTTTTTCTTTGTTTAGAGAGAGGAAAGGCAAGGGAGAGATAGAAACATCGATGAGAGAGAACATCGATTGGCTGCCTCCTGCTTGCCCCACACTGGGGATCTGGCCCACAACCTGGGCATGTGCCCTGACTGGGAATTGAACCTGCGACCTCTTGGTGCATGGGTCGTTGCTCAACCGCTGAGCCACACCAGCTGGGCTAATCATGACATTTTAAAAGTTAAAATTCTTATTACTAGAGGCATCAACAAGGACTTAAACTTTAGGTTATGCAGAGCAAATGCCTTTTTTTATTTGTTATTTTGTTTGGAGGATGGATGCAAAACTAAGGTTGTAAGGAAGCACTTCGGTCTTTTTAAAGTTATGTGTGTCATAGCTGTCATCAAACATACAATTCCCCTATCTAAAAAATAATAAAAACCCTACATAGCTGAAGAAGTTTCCATTTTTTGGCCCAGGTCTGTTTATCATTGTGGGTTGTAAAACTGGAATGATTTTTTTTTTCAATTTTTTTTCTTTATTTGATTTTAAAGAGAGGGGAGAGAAAGAGAGAAACTGGGAATCGAACCGGCAACCTCTTGGTGCATGGGTCGATGCTCAACCACTGAGCCACACCGGCTGGGCTGGAATGACTTTATTATTATTATTATTATTATTATTATTATTATTATTTTTATCCTCACCCGAGGACATTTTTTCCATTTTTTGTTCAGATAGAGTGGGGGGGGGGGGAGAGAGAGAGATGGGGAAGGGACACATTGAGTGGCTGCTACCCGAACGACCCAACCACAGCCGGGGACAAACTGCAACCGAGGTACATGCCCTTAGCGGGAACTGAACCCGGGTCTCTCTGGACCGCAGGCCGATGCTCTAACCACTGAGCCAAACCAGCCAAGGCTGGGATGATTTTAATAGTGACTAATAATCTATTCAAGAGGAAAAGCACCAACAAAATAAAAGAAATTGCCCTGGTCAGTTTGGCTCAGCAGTTTGAACATCGGCCCTTGGACCAAAGAGCTGAAGGTTCGATTCTGGTCAAGGGCACATACTTCAGTTGTGGTTTGGTCCCAGGCTCTGATTGGGGTCACGTAGGAGGCAACCAGTTGATGTGCCTCTTTCACATCGATGTTTCTCTCTCTCTCTTCCCCCACCCCTTCCTTCCACTCTATCTGAAGATAAATGGAAAAATATCCTCAGGTGAGGATTAAAAAATAATAATAAAAATAAAATAAATTGCCTATAAGTTAGATGTATTTTGGTGATGTGTAATGTCCTATGACTACTCTTTTTTTTTTTTTTACATTTTTTATCCTCACCTGAGGACATTCATTTTTTGTTCAGATAGAGTAGGAGGGGGAGAGAGAGAGAAACATCGACGTGAAAGGGACACATCAAGTGGCTGCCACCCACACAACCCAACCTGGGCCGGGGCAAACTGCAACCAAAGTACATGCCCTTAGCGGGAACCGAACCCGGGTCTCTCTGGACCACAGGCTGACACTCTTACCGCCAGGGCCCTATGACTACTCTTTTAGACTCTACTTGGAAATTCAGGCACACGAAGGGAAATAATATAATTATGTAGGAGAGTCAAGGACGTGGGTATGGAAAAGAAACTAGCTGGTTCTGAAGTGAAGAGATGTGATTGAGAGAGATTTAAAAAATTAAAAATGTTTACAGACACTCATAATAATAAAAATACAAGGAGACATGCAGTGTGATTCCACCTATATGACGTTCTGGAAAAGGCAAACTCCTAGAGACAGAGAACAAATCAGTGGCTATCAGGCACTGGAGGTTGGAAGAGGGGTTAACTACAAAGGGGCCACATATATTTGTGGTGATGGAACTGTTCTGTCCTTAATTGTTGGGATGGTCACATCCTTGATAAATTTGTCAAAACTCACAGAACTGTACATTGAGTGGTTGCTTCCTGCACAACCCAACCATGGCCTGAGATGAACCACAACCGAGGTACATGCCCTTGACTGGAATTGAACCCGCGATTCATTGGTCTGCAGGCCGATGCTCTACCGCTGAGCCAAACCAGCCAGGGCAGAACTAGGATTCTCACTGTGGAAGAAGGGAGCTAAAAATATGAAATGAGGGAAGGTAAAGAAGAATTTTTGGGGGTTGGACTGGAATTGGAGGTATCAGTATAAACTTATCATTCATAAAATATATTCCTAGCTCTATTCACTGAAAGGACTAGAAAGCAAAGACACTTCAAGGAGCACACCTAGTGCCAAATCTAGGTTACTAAATACCATCCCTAAAAGAAACTAAGGGTCCTTAGAGAAATGGCTGATTCCATTGCTAGGGCAGGGAAAGTACAAGATGAACCTTGAATATTTTGTGTCAGAAAATAAAAAGTTGCTCAAAAAAAAGATAGAGACATAAAAAAAAAAAAAAAGACATAAGCCAGCTGAAAGGGAATCCTACTGACTACATCTGGCATTATTATTTATTAAAATAAATAAGAATGGATTATAACCTATTAGAGTCATGAATCCATACTGATAATGAACAAATAAATAGGAGAGAAGATAAAATTCCTCTTTAGAGTAGAACATCCATCATTGATTATGGAAAGAATAATAATTAGAAAATCACCACTTTGCATACTTACCTGGCAGGGGAGATACCATGATCACGAAGGCGGTTTTCCCAGCGAGAGGCTTATCCATTGCACTCCGATGTGCTGACCCCTGTGATTTCCCCAAATGTGGGAAACTCCACTGCGTAATTTGTGGTAGTGGGGGACTACATTCGTGCTCTCCCCTAAAAAAAAAAAAAGAAAAGAAAATCACTACTTTGCAATTTTCATTTTTTTTTTAATTCTCACCCGAGGACATTTTTCCATTTTTTGTTCAGATAGAGTGAGAGAGAGAGAAAGAGAGAGAGAAAGAGAGAAACATTGACCCGAAAGGGACACATCGAGTGGCTGCCATCCACACGACCTAACCAGGGCCGGGGACAAACTGCAGCCAATGTACCTGCCCTTAGCGGGAACCAAACCCGGGTCTCTCCGGACCGCAGGCCGACGCTCCAGCCGCTGAGCCAAACCGGCCAGGGCAGCAATTTTCAAACTAATAATTGATTTAGGCAAAAATCATCAATGGATACAAAAACTAGTGGGTGAAAGTTTGCTGAAGAACAAGATTATTTACATAGTCTTTATGTATTATTCTTCACGTTATTTATACTTACAAGGGGAAAATAGTAACTTTATAGTGTAGGAACATAGAAGCCACTCCTTCGACCAAATGATTCAAGTTGACATTACCAATGTAATATTACATGCTTCCTGATAAGATGCCCTAAGAAGACACATCTGTTACGTAATGTTCCAACCAGAAGTCATGTAAACTGAATGTAATTATGAGGAAACATCAAGACACACAATTTGGCCCTGGCCGGTTTGGCTCAGCGGTTAGAGCGTCGGCCTGCGGTCTATAGAGACCCGGGTTTGGTTCCTGCTAAGGGCATGTACCTCGGTTGCAGTTTGTCCCCGGCCCTGGTTGGGTCGTGCGGGTGGCAGCCACTCAATGTGTTCCTTTCACATCGATGTTTCTCTCTCTCCCTCCCACTCTACCTGAACGAAAAATGGAAAAATGTCCTCGGGTGAGGATAAAAAAAAAAAAAGACACACAATTTGAATGGAATTTTACACCTGTGTGGCATCAGAAGTTCAGTTACCAGTCCTTCCCTTAGAATTGCCTAAGTTTGATCTTTTAGGAATCATTTAAGGATTCTTTACCTCACTTCATATGTAAAACTGAAGGAATAAAACTTACCTGTAGTGAGAAAAAAATCAATGTCATGAAAGACAAAGAAAGGCCGAGGAACTGTTTAATTTTATCAATGGGGTGTACACCTGAAACTAATATAATACTGTATGTCAACTATAATTTAAAAATAAAAAAAATATTTAAATAAAAAAAAAACACACAGAAATAAAGCTACAAAAAAAAAAAAAAAAAAGAGAGAGAGAGAAAAAGTAAAAGGAGACTAAAGACACATGACAACTAAATTCAATACAAGGACCTGGATTGAATTCTATGTGGAAACATTGGAACAACTGGTGGAATTGGAATACCGGTTGTACTGTATCATTATGAAAATTTCTGAATTTGATAACTGTACTGTGGTTATGCAAAAGAATATCATAATCTTATGAAATGAACCCTGATGTATTAATGGGTAAAAGCACACCGTGCGTGCAAATTATTCTCAAATGGTTCAGAAAAAAAGCAAATACACACACATACACACACACGTATACATGTATAAAATACGGAGAGAGAACACATGTGGTAAAATATTAAGAAGTTTTGTATCTTGGTAAGGGGTATACAGTGGTTCTCCCCCATCAATGTTTTATTATGAAAATATCCAAACATAAAGAGAAAGTGAAAGAATTTTACTCTGAACACCGACCATGTTTCTGCAATCGACACTTTGTTAAATTTGCTTCGTCACATATTTATCCACATATTATGAATTCTTTTTACTATTCTTGCAACTTTTCTCTAAATTCGAGGTTGTTTCAAAAGTAAAAGTTAAACGATTTAGCATGTAGTAATAGAAGACAAAAAAAAAAATCAAAGACATGAAGGAAGTTTGGGAGGAACATTAGTGTGGAGCGAGATACAAGCTCAAGCTTCTGAAACACTACCGATCTCGAACCTGGTTCCTTTGCTGACTCAGCCCAAGATCAGAGTCTCATCTCTCCTTTATTGGGCCCTAAACCAGTCTTCAAGGTTGGGGGGGCGGGGTTGTCTGTAATTCGTCAGTAAATACGTCATTTATAAAGCGTGAAACTACATTTCCCAAAAGGCCTTTATCTTCCCGTGTTTTGAAGAGATTACTATTTCTATAGGTTTTCACAGGTCTCGCGAGAATTCATTAAATCTCATTAAAATGCCCTACTGAAAGCCATTTTGTTTTTCAGGGTTCCTTGCAAGGGTACCTGACGCGAAGTTCCAACAACCAGCCGCTGCAGTTGCTGCAGTTCCGTCTTCAGCTTCACGATGTTTCCATTGGCCAAAAACGCGCTAAGTCGTCTCCCAGGTGAGCAAAAATTGTGATAAAATAATTTCCAAGGGCCTTTTATCCATTTGTCCTCGTGGTCGCTCCTGCCTTTTCCGCCGGCATCCCGACCTTCTAACTCTAAATGCTTAGTCTCCCGCCTCGCCCTAACTAACTGGGAAGATGCCCTTAGCATGAGCTTGATCACCCCGTGTTCCCTTTGCGGTTCACAGCTCTCTTTTGTTACTGGAGTCATAGCCTAGCCCTGCTTTTTAATTATTCAGTAGTAACCTATGATTTCAGGGAAAAACATTCTTGGTGGACACCTTGTTCCTTAAATAATTTCGTTAATTTTAGTTTGGGGGCACATTTCCCCCACAAATGGAAGAGTCTTTTCTTCAATTCTTGTAACAATGACGGAAGGAACTTGTAAATTTCGCTCTTCATCTGGTTTTTCATCGCAGGGAGATAAGCTAAATGGTACCCCGCACTTTTTGTTATTTGTGGATTATTTCTTATGTAAAAGTTAAGAGTGTACAGGGACGATTTGAGACCAGCATTACATATTTAGAATACATTAGATTGGAGAAAGGAAAGTCATTTCCTTGATTGATTTGCACTGAAGGTGACCTTGAGTAAAGTGAGTTTTTTTTTTTTTTAAACAATAAAGGTAACCTTAAGCAATCATTTACCTTTTTTAGCTGTCTTTTTATTTTCAGTTTATGTAGCTGTTGGAGGAATAACTAGACTGTGTTCTGAACACTCAAACAGCTTTGACAATGAACAAAAAGTAGTCGCCTGACTTTTTTGGTAATCCAAAATACCCATCTCTTATCTCTTTCACATTGGGTAAAAAGCTGAACATCATTTTCCTCCTTTGTAAAATAGGGGATTAGTAAATAAAACCTACCTCATAAAGTTCTTGAGGATTATGTGAGATGACTAATAGGTGGTAAGTAAACCAATTCTTGTCACAAAAATCTAAAGAAATTCACTTGAGTGATCAGTGTTGAGGTCATGAGGTGTTGCAGAATTGTTTGATAATCTTAATGTCTTTGCCCTTTGAGCAGGTAGGGTCTTGTAACTTAGGAAACGGGTTTTGCTTTTTTGTTTTTTTTCAACATGGAATTCACAAACTCACTTTTTAACTGCTCTAGAGCAGACCATATTTTGAAATGTTTGTAAATTTGCTCATCGATGTTTTAGTAAAGGTGAAAAAAAAAAAAGACCGTAAGGCAGTTAAGAGATGAAACCACTAATTGGCAAATAACTATCCTGAAATAACATATTGTATCATACAGCCCTGGCCGGTTTGGCTCAGTGGTTAGAGCATCGGCCCTCAGACCAATGAGTGGCAGGTTCGATTTCCGGCCAAGGCCACATACCTCGGTTGCAGTTTGTCCCTGGCCCTGGTCAGGTCATTCGGGAGCCATCCAGTCGATGTGGCTCTATCACATCGATGTTTCTCTCTCTCTCTCTCTCTCTCTCTCTATCCCCCCCCCCTCTATCTGATGATAAATGAAAAAATATCCTAGGGTGAGGATTAAAATATATATATATATATATATATATATATATATATAGAGTATCATACAGAAGCAATTATATTCTTAAGTGCTAGTAAATGGTCAAGATTGCTGTTTCTTTTTTAAATGTTTTTATTGACTTTTTAGAGAGAGAGAGAAACATCGATGCGAGAGAGAAACATCAGTCAGCTGCCTCCCACTTGCCCCCAGGGATCAAGCCTACAACCCGGGCATGTGCCCTGACTAGAATCAAACCAGGACCTTTCTGTCCATGGGACAGCGCTCAGTCCACTGAGCCACACTGGCCGGGAAAGATTGCTGTTTCTTTAATATACTTTCTATTAGCACATAAGTACCTTTTGAGGGTTTAAAACAATAAGCACCTGCCACTTAGATTGGAGAGGAATTTAAAACCAGCTGGGGATATGCATTTTGCAGTCTTGGCTCTTTCCCAAGCCCTCCAGAGTCGGTTTGAAAAGTATTTCTACTAAAATAACAGTAAAAGCAAAGTTTGAATGTGTAATTCTGCTCGAAAACCTTTACCTCAACCAAAACATTGGCCCTCCATGATTATTTTTCTTTATTGATTTTTAGAGAGAGAGGAAGGGAGAGGGAGAGAGAGAGAGAGACATCGATGAGAGAGAACATCGATTGGCCGCTTTCTGCATGCCCCCCACTGGGGACCAGGCCCTCAACCGGGACATGTTCCCTGACCGGGAATCGAACCGGTGACCTCATGGTGCATGGGTGTTCAATCTCTGAGCCACACCGGTTGGGTCCTCCATGATTTTTTTTTTTTTTTATCCTCATCCGAGGACATTTTTCCATTTTTTGTTCAGATAGAGTGGGAGGGAGAGAGAGGAAGAGAGAGAGAAACATCGATGCAAAAGGGACACATCGAGTGGCTGCCACCCGCAGGACCAACCAGGGCCGGGGAAAAACCGCAACCGAGGCACGTGCTCTTAGCGGGAACCGAACCCGGGTCTCTCTGGACCACAAGCCGACGCTCTAACCGCTGAGCAAAACCGGCCAGGGCTCCTCCATGATTTTTTAGCTTTACTCCCATTGCTTGTCTATACACCTCATCCTTTAGCCAAATGTAGTTCATTTTCTAGTACACTGGGCTTTTCTGTCTGCCTTTTATCAGATTCCCCTTTCCCACATCTATATAACCAAATCCAACCTGCTGTTGAAAGTGCTTAGCTAACATCCTACTTCCTTGTATTATAGTGATTTGTATCTACATGCCTAATATCCTCCTCTAGACTGGAAGTTACCTGAGGACAGGGTCTGTGCCACACATTTTCATTTACCCCATTCCCTTTAACACGGTGACTAATTATTTTAAAAATCAAGATTCATTTTTGGAGTTTTTTCTTTTTTTGCAATTTTAAGGTCATGAACATTTAGTGTGCTTTAATTTGAAGTTCTTTTTTAGTTTATTTACCCTTCTATGTTGTATGTTGTTGACCACTGCTGAATTAACTTTAGTTAAAATTTAAGTCATAAATATTCAAATTAATGAATAGGAGCTAAGTTCCAGACGTGATACCAATACCAACATGTAAAGAGTGTTATTGATATCACCTGTTCTTTGTTTTTACCCCAACTTTTTTTTTTGAGCAATCAATTACATTTTTTTACTATACTTTTATTGTTGGCATTATTACATATATTCCCCCATTTCCCCTCCCCTGCCCACGTTCGTCCAGCACCCACACTCCCTCCAATGTTTTACTTAGAAAACTTTCAGACATACAGAAATGTCGGAACAATTGTTTGATGAACATCCACATACCCACAACATAGATTCTACAATTAACGTTTTACTATATTTGTTTTGTCACATATCTATCCATCTGTCAGTTCATCTTATTTTTTATGCCTTTCAGAGTATGGTACTTTTAGCTATAATGTTTTAACATTTTATTGAATTGTATAATACTAGAGAGTTAACTTCTTGGCTTTCCTGGTTTTCAATATCAATTGCATACGTTCTTTTTCCTAATAATTCATAGATATGCTTCTGTATATTTTTTTTTCTTTAAGTTCGAAGCATTCAGCAAAAAATGTCAAGGCAGATGCACCAGAAACAGGCACCCGACTTCCATGACAAATATGGTAATCTTGTATTAGCTAGTGGAGCCACTTTCTGTATTGCTGCCTGGGCATATGTAAGTACTATTGATTGATAATTTCTGGTTTAAATGTTTTTCATTCACATTTAGCTCATGTATTCATACTATATTCACAGAGTAGTGTGCATTTCTAGTAAGGGAGGGACCTTAGAGATTTTCTAATGTAGTTACCCATCGGGGCAGGAATTTCTTTCTCAATATTTAGCATTCACCTATCATCTGTTCTTAACATTTCCAGTAACAACTTGCTTACTGGATCACAAGGCAGCCCTTTCTGTGTTGTATAGCTGTTTTATGTTTGTTTGTTTTTTATCCTCGCCCGAGGGCATTTTTCCATTTTTTGTTCAGATAGAGTGGGAGGGAGGGAGGGAGGGAGAGAAACATCGATGTGAAAGGGACACATCGAGTAACTGCCTCCTACATGCACGACCCAACCAGGACCGGGGACAAACCACAACCACGGTATGTGCCCTTAGCGGGTACCGAACCCGGGTCTCTCTGGACCGCGGGCCGATGCTCTGACCGTTGAGCCAAACTGGCCAGAGCTGTATAGCTGTTTTAAAAGGGTTGTATGTTGCCCTGGCCAGTTTGGCTCAACGGTCAGAACGTTGGCCCAATGTGTGGGAAGCTATCAACCGAGAGATTTCTCTCTCCCTCCCTCCTAGTCTATTTAAAAATCAATGGAAAAGTATCCTCAGGTGAGGATTAACAACAAAAAAGTAGAAGTTTTGAAGTTATAATAGATAAGTTAATCTCTTTTTGTTTTTATTTTTTAATTGATTTTTTAGAGAGAAAGGGAGACATAGAAACATCAATTGGCTGCCTCCTGCATACTCCCTGCTGGGGATCGAGTTCAAAATCTGGGCATGTACCCTGACTGGGAATCAATCTCTGACCTCTTGGTGCATGGGATGCTGCTCAACCAAATGAGCCACACCGGCTGGGCAATATAAGTTTATTTTAAAAGACATAACTCAACCCTTGCCTTAATAAACAAAGATACTTTAATATAATAGGCCTTTTTTATTCTTGTTTGATCTTCCTGAAATTAGATATACTATTAAAATAAGTGTGTGTGTGCTTTATTAGAAGAAACAGATGTTGAACAAATGTCTTATCGGGGACTTCAAAAGGTAAAGTGCTCCTTCATGAAGGGATATTACAAAAGTGCTATTTGGTGGTATTTAGGTAGTTGTGGTTGAGTGAAGCAACATTTTGATGAAGTAGTATAAAATGTGAACTCTAAACTTGAGTTAATTAAATAAAATGAAAAATTCAGTTCCTTAGTCATACTAGCCACATTTTAATAACCTATGTGGCTAGTGGTTACTGTATTTATTGGCCAGTGCTGATACAGAACATTTCCTTCATATGAGGAAGTTCTATTGAACAACATGGCGTGAGTCTAGAGAATTAGTAGCAATTAGATTTGCCTACATGGAGGGCAGTCTATCCCAATGAGTTTCTATTTGTTTTTAACCTACAGAGCAGAATACCTTTGTCACTTTTAAGAAATAGTTTCTAAGGGAGAATGGTTTCTGGTTTAAACATGTAGAACTGACAGCATTTTAATTTTTACAGACAGCAACGCAGATTGGAATAGAGTGGAACCTGTCGCCAGTTGGCAGAGTCACCCCAAAGGAATGGAGAGATTAGTAATCATCCCAGATGGTGTAATAAAGAATTGTTTCAAAACCAACTCATCATTGATGCCAAGTGAAAGCACTGTGTACCCATTAAAATATGGCATGATTAGAGAAATAAAATACATTTGAAACTTGTAGGTTTGTTTGTTTTGTGAATGAAAGCAAGCTTGATCACTTCATTTATTTAACTGTTGTGTTAATAAAATCAAAATGCTATACAACTTCTTTTTTTTTGTACATGCCCCTAGTGGGAACCAAACCCGGGACTCTGGTCTGCAGGCTAATGCTCCAACCGCTGAGCCAAACCAGTCAGGGCTATACAACTTCTTTTTTTTTTTTTTTTCTTTATTTATTTTTCAGACAGAGTGGGAGGGAGAGAGAGGAAGAGAGAGAGAGAGAAACATCGACGTGAAAGCGACACATCGAGTGGCTGCCACCCACACGACCCAACCAGGGCCGGGGACAAACTGCAACCGAGATATATGCCCTTAGCGGGAACCGAACCCGGGTCTCTCTGTACCGCAGGCCGACGCTCTAACCGCTGAGCCAAACCGGCCAGGGCTATACAACTTCTTAAATGGCTTTTCTATATGAGGTAGTGTAAAAGGAAAATTTGGCTATCACCTGGAAATCGACTTTATAGTAGATTGAAATTATAGGTCATGAATAAGGGCTCACAGAGTTATTTTAGGTCATCTTTGAGCTAAAAATTGATGTCTAGATCTTGGTTATGCCTACTACTTCCTACCTCCCAGTCAGGGTGGTGTGGGAGGCAACCAATCGATTTGTCTTTCTCACGTTGATGTTTCTCACCCCACCCACCCCCCATCCACTTTATCTAAAAATCAGTGGAAAAATATCCTCAGGTGAGGATTAACAGCAAAACAAAAACAAAAAACATACAACTCAGCATCAAAAAAGCAAACAATCCCATTAAGTAATGGGCAAAGGGCCCTGCCAGTGTGGTTCAGTGGCTCAGTGGATTGAGCTTCATCCCATGGTCTGGGAGGTCCTGGTTTGATTCCCTGTCAGGGCACGTGCCCAGGTTGTTGGCATGATCCCCAGTGAGGGGTGTGTGGGAGGCAGTCAATCGATGTTTCTATCTCTCATTCCCTTTCTCTCTAAAAATATCAATAAAAACATACTTAAAATGGACAAAGCACCTGAATAGACAATTCTCCAAAGAGGACATGCAGATGGCCAATAGATGAAAAGATGCTCAATGTTACTAATCATCAGAGAAAAGCAGATTAAAACCGCAATGAGATACCACTTCTCACCTGTCAGAATGGCTATCATTAAATCAACAAGTGGTGAAGATATGGAGAAAAGGGAACTCTAGTGCACTGTTTTTTAAAAATTTTATTGACTTTATTGGGGTGACTGGTTAATAAAATTATATAGGTTTCAGGGGTACAATTCTATAATACGTTATCTCTAGTACACTGTTGGGTATGCAGATTTGTGCAACCGCTCTGAAAAATAGTGAAAAATTAAAAATGGAACTGCCTTATGAACCAGCAATTCCACTTCTGGGAATATATCCAAAGAAACCCGAAACACTAATTCGAAGGAATATATGCACCCCTATGTTCATTGCAGCATTATTTACAATAGCCAAGATATAGAAGCAACCAAAGTGTTCATCAGATGAGTGAATAAAGATGTTGTCTGGCCCTGGCCAGTTTGGCTCAGCAGTTAGGTTAGAGCATCGGCCTGCGGTCGGAGAGACCTGGGTTCGGTTCCCGCTAAGGGCACATACCTCGGTTGCAGTTTGTCCCCAGCCCTGGTTGGGTCGTGTGGGTGGCAACCACTCGCTTTCATGTAGATGTTTCTCTCTCTCTCTCTCTCCCTCCCTCCCTCCCCCCTCCCACTCTATCTGAAAAAAATATCGAAAAATGTCCTTGGGTGAGGATAAAAAAAAAAGTTCAGCCCTGGCCGGTTTGGCTCAGCGGTTAGAGCGTCGGCCTGCGGTCCTGAGAGACCCGGGTTCGGTTCCCGCTAAGGGCACGTACCTCGGTTGCAGTTTGTCCCCGGCCCTGGTTGGGTTGTGCGGGTGGCAGCCACTTGATGTGTTCCTTTCACATCGATGTTTCTCTCTCTCTGTTCCTCTCTCTCCCTCCCACTCTACCTGAACAAAAAATGGAAAAATGTCCTCGGGTGAGGATAAAAAAAAAAAAAAAAAAAAGTTCATATATATATATATATACAACAAAAGACTACTCGGCTGAAAAAAAAGGGATCTTTTTGTGATAGCATGGGTGGACTGAGAGGGTATTATGCTAAGTGAAATAAGTCAGAGAAAGATAAATACGATATGATTTCACTTATATGTGGATTCTAATGAGCAAATAAAAATAGAAACACTCAGATACAGAGAACAGACTGACAGTGGTCAGAGGGAAGAGTGTTTTGGGGGCTGGGTGAAAGAGGTGAAGAAATTAAGCAGTACAAATTGTTAGTTACAGAATAGTCACGAGGTTGTAGATTATGGTGTGGGGAATATAGTTAATAATGTCATGATAATTCTGTATGAGGCCAGGTGGGTACTTAGGACAGTGGGGGAGCTCTCTGTAAGGTGCATGATTTTCTGGCCACTTTGCTGTACATCTGAAGCTGGTACAGAATAATATTGAATGTTAACTGTGTTTGAAAAAACAAACTGAAGAATTTAGGTAAGTGATTTACTTTAGAAGCATTGCCAATTATTATTTATTAAATTTTTTTTTAATGTAGTGGTAAGATATATTGGAGCAAAGGGAAATAATACACCCTCAGGGACGTAGAGGGTGGGCAAGCTCTAGCAGCAACTGCCTAGAATCATTGCCAATTTTAAAAAAAATATGTTTTTACTCATTTTTTTAGAGAGAGAGGAAGAGAGAGAAGTATCCATGTGAGAAACATCAATCGGCTGCCTCCTATACGCCCCCTACTGGGGATCAAGCCCGAAATCGGGGCTTGTGCCCTGACAGGGAATCAAAAGCAGACCTCTCAGTCCATGGGTTAATGCTCAATTTACTGAGCCACACTGGCCAGGCTTGTTGCCAATTTTTTTTTATTCCTCACCCAAGATATATTTTTATTTATCATCAGATAGAGTGGGAGGGACAGAGAGAAACATTGATGTGATAGAGCCACATCAACTGGTTGCCTCCCGCACGAACTGACCAGGGCTGGGGACAAATCACAATGAATGTACATGCCCTTGACCGGAATTGAACCTGAGACTCTTTCGTCCGTGGGCCGATGCTCTAACTGCTGAGCCAAACCGGCCAGGGCTCATTAAATGTTATTTATTGAAAGACTATCAAGTATTTTTTAAAATTAGGGTGAACATCATGAATCCCATTCTTAATTTCACCCTAAAACAATTATTTTAGGGGGTGTGTTCTGTTTTTTAAAATTATTATTTAGAATTATGTATCAAGGTTGTTACAGAGGCATAGATATTGAATTCTCATCCTTGTGACTATTTTATTGGAGATATTAATACCACTTTGTAAGCATTTCGGGGGCACCTACTAACTGTTTAAACCCAGAAAACCTGATTACTTCCTGGAAACATTCCATTCTGTTTGATAGCTGTTAGAATAATATTGTAATCATAAAAAATTGTAATAAGCTTGTACATTAGAAGGAAGATTAAGGTTGATGCAATTAGAGACTGACATGTTTTATTAAAACTTTTCTTTATTGATTTTTAGGGAGAGAGGAAGGGATAGGGAGAGAGAGATAGAAGCATTGATGAGAGAGAACATTGGCGGCCTCCTGCATGCCCCCGACTGGGGATTGGGCCCACAACCTGAGCATGTGCCCTGACAGGGAATTGAACAGGTGACCTGCTGGTGCATGGGTTGATGCTCAACCACTGACCTACCTAAACCGGCTGGGCAAGTTTTTTTTTTTTTTAATAGATTTTTGAGCGAGGAAGGGAGAGAGAGAAACATCAATAGGTTGCCTCCTGTGGCGCCGGGACAGGGGATCAAACCGGAAACTCGGTATGTGCCCTGACCGGGAGAACCTGCTCCTTCTGGTGTAGGGGAAGACGCTCCAACCAGCCACACTGGCCAGGGTGAGACATGACACAATTTAGAATGAGTGAATGGCCTGGTGACTAGGGATATACATAGTAGAGGATTTTGCAGTTTATAATGATAAACTTAATATAAAAACTAGAGAGGTAGTAGATTTGATATTTTCTGATGAAGATTATCAGAGGATAAACCTGGTTTTCTGCCTTTAAGAAAATTTCTTTGAAAACTCAACAGTGTTAATATTGTAGTTCAAAACTAACTTGCTAATAAATGGAAGCCCACTTAAAAACCACCTTAATTTCATGTGATGTATTTTTAAGATTTTAAAATTGGGGCTGAATATGTATCTTAATCGTGCACATTGATTGAGAACTACAACTTCCTGCCCAGGAGGGTAAGGGGTTTTGAAGCTATTTTTGTTATTTATGGGGATAAGTGTTGAGGGAGGAGAAATAATTCCTTCTGAGATAATTAATTGCAGGCCTATAATTTAGATCTGTGGGCAGTTTTAAGTATTGTCTATCAAAACTTAATAGGATTTGACAACATAGGATGGAAATTATTTTATTTAATATTTATAAATACTTATTGTGTGTCAGACACTTTTGTAAGCTTTTACAAATATTAATTAATGTGTTTAATATATGTAGTTTATGTACTATTTTGAGTTCCACAACATTATCAGACTCAATACTCTTTTCATGGGAACTGGGTTCAAATGGTTCCAGTTGAAAATATAAGTAATCTTGTGATTAGTTTCCCCCTACATCTTATGACAGATATTTAATGAAACGCAGTATTAAAAGACCATATCTCTATCTGAAATTAGTGAGATGGAGCTTCACCCTCTCACTGTTAATGTTCATCGTTTTAAAGATCCTAGGATTTTGCTGCTTTTTAATAAGTCAAAGGGGAAAACAGGAATAAAATAATTTTTCTCAATTTCTGTACCATTTACTTATTGCATTGTATGGCTACATTTTATGCATCTCATTTCTATCTAAAACTCATGGTGATTGATATATACTGCAATATATATATATATATTTTTTTATCCTCACCCGAGGATATTTTTCCATTTTTTGTACAGATAGAGTGGGAGG